TAAAAATTTTTTACAATCTGATTAGTTTGCCTTTAGCATCTACTACAACAATCTACTAGCTAATATTAAGTGAAGTTTATTATCAACTTTTTATTCTACATTGAATTGCCAAACTGATAACCTCTAAAGAATCAGTCTATTACACAAAAAGGCATATTCTAACCTAATATTCTGAATTTTTCAGGATAGTACAGCATCTTTTGACAGTTGTATGTCCTTTTTTCTTATCCAATATCAGCATTTTGCTAAGGATAGGGACAGCTGTCCTAAATACTAGAAACTTCTAATTTTAGCCTATGCGAAAAATCTATTTTTACCCTTCCAATTACTACCATATTTCAGCTTTGTCCTAAGCTATTTTAATTCAATTAAGTCCCTAAGGTTTCTATTTACAAACTAGGGCAAACCAAAACAAAGAGTCTATCAACAAATTAGTAAAAAATGCAAATTAAAAAAAATGTCAACAGAAACAAAAATAGAAGAGAGGATGCAATTTTAACTAAAATTAACGTAATTGGTAGACGAAAGTGTTTATCTAATCAAAACAAGACTAAACTTAAACGGCTAAACTGAATTTTAACACCTCTATTTTACAAAAAGCAAATCAAGGAAGTGAATCAAGGAAAAATCTAAGGATTATCAGCTAACTAATGTTTCTAAGGCTAAATCAATTAAGTCCAGAATCAAACTCAATCAACAATTTCAAACCCTGAAACTTGCACGATTTACTGAAAACGAAAATTGACTAATTATAGCATATTAAGAACTAATTAAGAAGTCTGAAACCCTAAACTAACCGATCAGTTGACAATTAACTACAAATTAAACCTAATCGACAGATGAAAACAAAACAGAACAGATGACCATGTAAGGAAATTAAACATAAGGGAAACCTAATTACTGGTTACATGAAAGAAAAACACAAAGATGAGATAGATATCAAGAACAGGGAAAAGAGAAAGAAGAAAGGACCTGAGGCTGTTTTGGAAGGGGCCAGTTGATGAAACTTCTTGAATGAAACAGCCATGAACTTATACAGCCATTAACTGGCTGTTCTTAACAAGAACAACCAGCTAATGGACGTTTGGGTTCACAGGCTCTAAATACTGACCGAGAAGAGAAATTAAGGTTTTCCTTGGAATCTTAGATTCAAAATTCGACACGGCTGGGGCTGATTCGAAGGGGGGCTAATGGTGGTTTAGGGTTCAGAGGGGTGCAAGGATTATAGGGTGTTATTTTGGGGCGATTTGGAACACTTAGGACTTTTGGGCATGAATCTCGGATTTGAAATTTGAGATTTTTGGTGGTGATTTGAAAGAAACGGATTGGAGATTTGAAATGAGGAGGTGATGGGGGTTCTGTGTTGTTAAATTGGTGGTGTTTGGGATACCGAAACCGCCGTGAGGCGATTTTCGGCAGGTGTTTGATGGCGGAGGCGGCGGAGAATATGAAGGCGGCTAGGGTTTGTTTAGTTTGGGTGTAGGAGATGAAATGAGAGGGGTTGGAATGGGGGAGGGACAGATTTCGGACAGTCATATAGTATTTGATCAATCAGTTCCCAGCCGTTAGATCCAATGTGATCAACGGCTCAGATCAAAACTAATCGGTACGATGTCGTTTGGCTATGAACGGAAATGGACCGGGTGGGCTGGTGATTTGGGCTTGGACTTGGGTAAGTTTGGAACGGGTTTGGCATTAAAATCAGCCCAATTTCAAAACAAATCCAATCTTTTCAGTTAGCCCCCTTTATTTCCTTTTCTTTTATTTTTCTTTTTTCCTTCTCTTTTTTTTAATTAATACCATGAATTAAAAACCTAAATTAATCTAAATTACAAAATTAAACTAATTACCCAAGTACAATAATTATAAAAGTTACCTAATCCTAAAATTAAAGAGGAAAAATCAATAATCTAAAAATTAAAAGGTAAGAAATGTAAAATGAGCTATTTTTGTTATTTTCATTTTTTTATCAAACAAATAATTAACCAATTAACCCTAGAAATGTTAAAACAAAACCTAAATGCAATGCATGGTATTTTTGGTATTTTTCATGTTTTTTAATAAAAATTAAATATGCACAAAAATGCAAACAATTAATAAAATTCTAAAAAATTCCTAAAATATGGCAAATAATTAGGAAAAAAATCTATTTTCTTTGATTTTATAGGAGTAGTTCGTATAGGGCTAAAATCGCATGCTCACAGCTGCCCCTCTTTGCTCGGAAACACGAAGGGTTTTCGGGCAAAGATAAAATGAGCGATTACGAGGGATTTTTCCCCATTTGAAACTCCATGAGAGATCACTTCTCTCTAGAAATTCTCTCCCGTTTCTATCTCAAATGGACTTGGATCAAGTTCATCAATCACCCTCTCCTAAACCACCAGATATTACAACTACTAAAACACTCGAGCAATTCATTTTGCCTACTACAACCTTTAAGGACAAATTAATCCATGGTGAACAAGAGACATCAATTAACATGACCATTGATGCAAATGTCTATGACTCATCAAATTGTGTACAAGCTAAGAAAGATGAGCAACTATGCTTGCCAAATATACAACAAATCCAGTTAACTCAAGAGGATATCCATCAGATTTACGAGCCTTGGAAATTCTCAACTATAATCAAATTGCAAGGGAGAAGAATTCAACACCATTTGCTCAAAACAAAGCTACATGAGCTATGGAAAGCAAAGGAAAATTTTCCCTTAATCGATTTAGGATGTGATTATTTTATCACCAAATTTAGTAATGAAGAGACAATGAAAAAGGCTTTGCACATGGGTCCTTGGTTCATCTATGGTCATTTCTTATCAGTTCAAAGATGGGAGCCAAATTTCCTTGCATCCGATGCAAGAATTTCAAAAACAACGGTATGGATCCGCCTCCCTCAGTTGCCTACAGAGTTCTATGATAGTATAATCTTGACAAAAATTGGCAACAAAATTGGCAAGCTGCTTAAGGTTGATGCCTGCACTTCCTCAACCCTTAGGGGAAGATATGCTAGGCTATGCATTGAATTGCCCTTGGACATCCCAGTACCACATTCCATTTTGATCGGATCCCACAAACAAACCATTTATTATGAAGATGGAAATCTTTTATGTATTAAATGTGGAAGACTTGGGCTTGTTCAATCAAAATGCTCCTTTAATTCAGTCCCCAATACCCCCTCCTCAGTTGCCTTAGACCCCACCGTCCACCAATCAAAGAACACTATTGCTCCAGTGCAATGTGCCAATGATGTTTCAAGGCAATCTAATAAAGAAGAAGAGGAGTGGAGAACAGTGAGCTTCCCAACAAAAGAGAAGGCCAATCAAAGAACCAATTCAGGTACCTTACATGATCAATCAAAGTCATTGCCAGGTATACACTCTTCTACTTCCTTAAACGTTATAGCTGCTGGTAAGCAATCCCTTCCCAAAAATTCCCATAAAAATCATATTAAGCATTACATTGTTGAAGAAAATAATCCCCTTCAAACTCAAAATTCTGAAAATAAATTCCAAGCATTGGTTACTCCGCCCAACCAGGATTGCATGGAATTAGAGTCTAATGAGAATTGCCACATGGCAATGCAAGTTTGTGACCAATCACCCAACATGCATGGCACTAATTATATGCCTATTACTACTAATTATACTACTCAATCCACCGTGCCACATAGACTGCCTAATGACCACTTAGCTTCTAATGAACCTAATCAAATTACTACTAACCTTACAAACCTTTGCATGAGGGACAAAACCAAAGGGGAACACCTGTCCCAAGAACCTGCCATTGGACAACAAATGGAAGATGACAACTTACACGTTCCTAAGGCTAAATCTAAACCAAATCCTTCCATTACCAAAAACTCAAGCAAGCTTATATGCACGCCACTAGAGATAATAAGTACCTCTCCTCCTAGAAATATAGATACACCACTTCCTCCGCCAGTAGCCTCACACACTGTCCAAAATATAAACCTTTCCCCCACAAACAACAATGCCAATAATACCAGTATCTCAGAGGAGACGACATCGTCTAGTCCAAAT